TAAGCTTGCTTAAAGTAGCACAAGTGGTAGCATAAGTAAGTACTTCTAGCCAAGTTACTAGAGTTACTAGAGTTATTAAAGTTATCGAGGTTTCGATTTTACGGCCTAGCGCGTGCAGGATTCAGGTTTTGTTAAAGGTTCATATAGTTCTATACGTAAGCCGCCGCAAAGTAGCATAAGTAGGTCCTTCTAACCAAGTTACTAAAGTTATTAATTTGCTAAGGCTCACTTCTTCCGAATCGGCGTATTAGATTTGCAGCAGAGTCTGAAGCTTTCCAAAGAAGCTTAAGCGGTTTAAGTATGTTACTTAAGTTACTAGAGTTACTAGAGTTACTAGAGTTATTAAAGTTACTAGAGTTATTAATATTACTTAAGTTCTTCTAATCTGCGATCCAAGCTTACCGTTTTGATCTTATACACTTTGCCACCACTTAATATACTTAATACGGATAATACGTCTTCTTTTGAAAAGGTTCCTAGTACTTTGCTACCGTCTTATCAACCATAGCGAGACAATAACTAAGAAGAGGATTCTAAGGATAATGAACTCTTACTCCCGTCTTCATCCCTTTTAATAAAAGGGCGAAAAGGTCGCTTAAGAAAGCTTGCTTTTCGTATCTTATTAGAGTCGCAATTGCGTCGTGGCCGTCTTAGAAAACAAATTTCTAGCCCATCTCTTCTATAATCGTCTAGCGTCTTACGGAATTCTTCTTTTAACCGCCAAATGTTCTTTTTTGATTCCGGATCCGAACTAAAGGTTACCGGCTTTCGCTTAAACGACTTAAAGCAAGGTCGTGAGACACGTAAGGCTCGAAGGATCCAAGCTAATATCGAACGAGAGAACCGCTTATAGCGGAAGGATGAACGAAAGGCTGCTAAAGAGGCTGCTTAGGCCGAGCAAGAACGCCGCCGAAACTTCTAGTTCTAAAGGTCTATCTTTCTCTCGGATATGTCACAACTATATGCTACTCTAGCCGAGTACAAGCCGGCGGTTAGTAAAAAAGAATAGAAAATGATTCAAGATTTTCACTCGACTATAAGAGCTATCTAAATGGACCTTTGCTTTCGCTGCAATAAAAGATGGTTCGAGATGCGACTTAAAAAAGTCCGCGGCGATATCATTTGTCACGAGTGTGACCGCCGTGATAAATCTATCAAAGAGCCGGATCTCCTTAGACAGCTTTATCTCATGACAGCTAGCAATAACATAGACCCAAGTGAAGTGCCGGATTACTTGCCGAAGCTTTCGGCATTAAAAGAGGCGTTGATCTCACCGTTACATATTAACATGTCGCTTTGGCGCTACCGCGGCCATCAATATAAGTACTCGGGCCACGTAGTAACCTTTGCTTCTAATAACGCTAAGTTCTTTGAAAACCTTCCTTTGCTCTTTGAAGAGGTTAACGTGATTATTCTCAAGCTTAAGGGTTTTAATGAAGACCCCCGGATCAGCAAGCAGTTCAAAAAAGAATGCCGAGTTCGGCGCTTTGCGATTTATATCTGGCTTACTTTCTTGAAGGCAAATAATCCTAAGTATATTAATATTAATATAAACTAAGACTTAATGGATTCTTTGCTCGTGGATAAAGATATAAGAGGGCGAGTCACAATTATTAAAGACGAAACACTTGAACAGCCTTTACTAAGGACAGCGGCTCTAGCTATAGAGTCATCGGCATAAAAACGCCGCCGCTTGCGCCGAAAAGCTCGCGGTAATCTTGAAGAAAATTCGAGCGAGGATGAAGCTCTTGCAGACGATAAGAATGCTTTACTTGATGTAAGAGATCACTTGGATCTTGACGATGACTTACTTGATGATTAAGAGCGTCCTCTTTTAAAGACCACCGTTCTCGATTTAAATCCAGATACTACGGAATCCAATCAGCTCTTTGCTTAAGTTAATAAACTCGCATCGAAGCAGCATGTTTTTGCCTTTGCTCCAAGCTAGCGGTCCACCCTAATCTCTGAGCTAAAACCTAATTAAAAGCTCTTTAGTTTAGCCTTTCTTACACTTTTCTTTACCGGCGCAAGCGATTTCTATACTTAACGATTCCGAAAGGTTAGTATGAAGGATTATGCTGAACACTTAATAAGGTACCGCGATAAGCGTTTTGCGACCCACTTTCGTTTCCGGTTCTACCTTTTCAATATTCTAATGCGCCTTAAGGTCGCAAAAGTATCTTTTTACTTTGTCAAGTCTCGGAAAGATATCAAAGACTTAGGTATTAATAGTTTGCGAGATCAATTGAAAGAGCAGCCAGCCCTCTTCAATCAGATCGTGCGCTGTGAGCAAGCTATCGATAGCACTCATCCTTTTTAGAAAAAGCAAGGCTATCAGCTAAAAGCATTAGCTAAGTCCTAGCCAAACGCTACAGCAGCTTTTCTTATATAGAGTGTTGCGGACATGCAATAAGAAGACTTTTAGCGCTATTTTCCTCGGTATAATAAATACAAGGCCGCTAATTAAGCTGAGCGAGCTAAAATAGTATAAGTCAATGTTTAAAAGAACCCGGCTATCATTGCTTATTACATTTACATCCGTTGGCAAGCTTTTTTGCAAGACATCTTAGGTCATTATTTGCCGTATACTGATTTTTGGGTACGATAAGAGTAGCAAGACCGTGGCTCGGGCTATATTCACGGTATATTTTAGTTAAAAGGCAGACCGAACGATGCGAGCGAGCTTGAACCTGGTATAAACTTTAAGAAGGACGATTACTTTCGTATTTTAGACTTCGTTAGCTTTTGAAAGGATTATATCACCGCATATAACTTTGATGCTACTCGTTTACCAGATCTGCAAAACCCGACCTCTCTACCCTTCAGTATGATCAAGAATACCGTCGATCAACTCATTGCGTTAATTAATCGAATGCAAATCCATCGCGTTTGCTTAACCAAATACTGTTTACGCAAAAACAAAGATACAAGAGTCCTTTCTTGCAGATTTTACTATAAGCGCTTTATGCAGCTTACAGCTGATTATAATCGAAAGATCAATCCTCGCAAGTATCAATTCGCCGCTTAGCGCAATCATCTTTTGCAAAACCTTTTTTCACTTGTTTTTATATTAGGCTGGTTAGCTAATACGGATATACAGCCTGTGTCCAGCCTTAAGGGTCTTTTAGAGTACGCTTCTAAGTATTGCTTTAAGCATGAAAAAGAATCGGACTCTTATAAAGACATTGTTAATATAATCCTAGAACACATTAATGCTAAGGCTCCGACGCTATCTTTAATATCTAAAATGCTTAACAAATTGCTAAAGGAAAGGGATTATAGCGCTCAAGAAGTATGTCACTTGCTCCTTAGGATCAATTTGATTAAATCCATTCGGAACTTTATCAATTTGGATTGCCGATCAGATGAAGACAAGAAGTACTAGGTGGAATTAAATGAGTATAGATTAGAACCCAAACTCTTTAACTTTTAGCGGTACCGACAACGCCTCGAGCGAGTTAAGGATGTTACTCTTTTAGACTTCCTTAAGGTCTACGATATATACACTTGCAAAAAGAAGAATTTCTTACGAAAAGGCAAGCTTTAGATCATCAATTACTTCTTTTAGTACTTAAACATTAAGGTCTATGATAATTATAAGCATAACGCACGTACTTATTTAATGCTGCACTATCCTTACCGAAAAGAGGACGACTTACTTACTGATGTTACCGGGGAGGAGCATCCGATATTCGCTTTAGCTTATAGCGCTTGCAAGCGCCTTTATCGAGATCCTTATAGCGATTCTTTGCATATGCCCGATTACTACGATCCTCTTTCTATAGCTGACGAAGAAGATAAGGCTAGTTTAGACGATAAATACGACATAGAAAGCCTTAAGCTTCGAGACCGTAATGATATTGACGCAAAAGAAGAATAGAACTTACGGAATCCTCGAAATCTTGATATTGTCTTTGTAGACGAAGACGATATATCGAATCGCTTCGAAGATCTTGCTTATAATTGGGATTCACATGTTAGCAAATACAACATCTTATTTACTTATATTCGAAATTGAAAAGCTGCTGCAAGAGTATCTGACATGCGAGTTAGCGCTACTCGAGGTTGTGACTTTGAAAAGCTTTCCGATAAGCAGAAAAGGTTTTACTATTCTATAGTAGACCATTATACTATGGTATTATTAAATCAACCCTTTCTACAGCTGCTAATTCATCTCGACGGCAAGGCTGGCACGGGCAAAACTTACTTTATTTTAACTACTTGCGTTCGGCTTCAAGATATGGCGGATGAAGCTGGCAAGCTAAATCTAGTCATCCGAGCAGCGCTTACAAGTATTGCTGCTTTTGGCATCGCAGGAGCTATATTACATTCTTTATTAGCGCTACTAGTCAAATACCATGCTATAAACAATTCTCTTGCTACTTTCTAGACCTTCTAAGCGAAATTCAAGGACTGCAAGTATTTAATTATTGATGAAAAGTCAATGATTGATCTAAAGGATTTCGCTCGAATTCAACGGCGCTGTGCTTAGATTTTCCTTGAATCTTAAGAGCTATTTAGAGGTTTGAGTATTTACCTTTATAGTGATTTTTACTAGTTACCGCTAATTGAAGGGAAGTCCTTATTTGTAACCTACAACTTTTCGCCGGAACAAAAGATCGGTCAGTCTTTTTATCGATTATTCAACAAAACTATTCGATTTGAGGTCATTATGCGTCAAGAGGGCGAGTCTTTAGAAGCTATCAATTTCCGCAAAGCCTTTTTAAAACTCCGAAAAGATAACCTTTCGATGGACAATTAAGAACTCTTTATTTCTCGAGCCAAAATGAATATCCGGCCGGCTGATAGAAAATCTTTTAAAGATGCCTTTCGTATTTACTTTACGAACGCGGAAATGAAAAAATACAATTACGAGCAGCTAAAAAAGCTGGACGCGCTTATCTTAAGACTCAAGTTAAAGAATACGAGCAGCGCGAAAGCTTACAACGCTGATTGGAAAAAAGCTGAAGGCTTAAAGCAAAGCATTGATATATGTATTAGAGCTAAAGTGATGTTGAATCAAAATCTCTGGACAAAAATAAAGGTAATCAATAGGTCTATAAAAATAATTAAGGATATCTTCTAGGAGGCAAGCGTCAAACTACGCGAAGAACTGCTATAAAGCATTATAATAGAGATCGAGGATTATACTAGTCCTACCTTCGAAGAAACTAGATGGTTCTTAGTATTTACCGTCGATCGAGACTTTTTTTACGATAATAAGCTTTGCAATCGTCGGCAGCTCTTTTTTCGCGTGGCTTACGCAATCACGGTATACAAAAGTCAAGGAATTTCCTTGATTAAAGCAGTGATTAGCTGGGCTAGGGCTGAATTTGCCTATGGGCTATATTATGTATCAGCTTCTAAGGTAAAGACTTTGGCGAGGGTTATGTTTAAGAATGTGTTTGATTTTTGCCGCTTTAAAAAGAAGTCTATTAGTACTAGTATTGATCGGGATACAGATCATGTGTATAAAGAGCAGCTTGCACAACGATTATAAAACTTATAAATAGATACAAATGGTATAGATATTACCGCTAATTACAAAAGTTACAGAAGTTACAGAAGTTACAGAAGTTATAGAAGTTACAAAAGTTACAAAAGTTATAGAAGTTACAAGATCTAATAAGAATCTATTATTACTCGCTTAATTCAAATAAAGGCCCATTTCCACGTGCACTTAGCTTTAGTAAAGTATTTTCTTTACATTTAAATACTTTGCATTTACGACATACCGAAATCAAACAATACATAGCAACAAATCACCTTTTTTATCGCGATTATGAATACGAAGCAGGAGAAAGAAAGTATCACTAATTATATTAAGGATATTAAAGAAGAAAGGGAGCTGGAGGAAGGCGAGATTCAAGAGGAGAGCGAGATTAAAGAAGAAGGCGAGATTGAGGAAGAGAGCGAGATTGAGGAAGAGAGCGAGATTAAGGAAGAGAGCGAGATTGAAAAGGAGGGCGAGATTAAAGAGGCCGAGATTGAAAAAGAGAAAGAAAAAGAGATTACTACACTATTATCGAAAACTCTTTTGCTAAATGACCTTTATTACGCAACTTTACAACGCGCATTTATCGCATTATTACTTAGCTTGTTACGCTAGCGATATGAATCACCCGATCTCTTCGGTAATGACGACGAGATGACCCGCATTATAAGTGAGATCAACCCTAAGAGGCTCATCGATGCTTCAAGCAGCTAACAGATCAAAGTTGATGCTTAAAGCAAAGATGACACACAAGATAATGCCCAAGGTAAAGATAAAACACAAGATGATGCGGAAGGCAAACGAAAAGGCGAAGTAAGCAAAAGAGGCTAAGGTCTTATACTTACGGACTTTTCTAGATTCATATACACGACGTATAAAGATAAGAAAATATACGACGATCTCGATGTATACCGCGCTTTCGGATAGATCGACTAATCTAAAAAGATCAAGGCCGAAGCAGAAGCATTGGATTTAGCGCTGGATTTGCCCCTTCCTCTATTCTTTCTAACTTTTAGGCCAAGTATAAATACGATATATCAATTTCTACCGCGTCCTGCGCCTCTCGCACTTGCTTAGCTACTTAAAGGACTTATCAAAATCGAGTGCGCTAAGTGTTATACCTTCCGCCTATTGCTATACTTCCCTATCTTGAACACTAGTCTGCGATTTACTACTTGCCTGGATTGCTGTTATCAACGACGCTACGAGCTGGCTAAAGAGTACTCTATTCGAGATACAGCTCGAAAGGCTTTAGTTAGCAATTTAGCAGATGTGATGATATCGGAATATACGGCGAAATTAGCGGACGAACCTTGCTAAGGCTGTTTAAGTCTATTCTCGTAGAGAGAGCTAGATAGCTTACATACTTGTTACTATTGCCGTAACAAGCGGACCTTTTAACGCTTATGTGTTTCAGATAGGCGTATAAAAGGGGCTATTCAAAGCTTAAAAGCTCACGCATAGATCGAGCTTAAGGCTCACCGATTGATAGCCATAAAAGAGTATAAGCTTAACGAATTGTAAGATGTATACTAATGGTTTATTATTAAAGGTAGTTGTATAGCTATTAGCAATTAATCAAGGGTAAATAATGTATTTAGATTGTACGGTTAATTGCGCCGAATCAACTGTAACCTTTATAACTTTTGTAACTTTTATAACGTTGATAATTTTGTATAATTATACATGCCAAGCCGATGGATTTAACAAGAGCGAAAATTTACTTGTGTTACAAAAGTTATAGAAGTTACAAAAGTTACAAAAGTTATAAGAGTTACAAGAGTTACAAGAGTTACAAGAGCTACAAGCTACTATATAAAATATTGTATAGATATACTGCTATACCGACGAATACGGCAAGTGTGAGAATTTGACTAAGCACGGACCTTTTTGAAAGGTGAATTCGTCTGTCACTTTTCAATATTTACTATAACCTAAATATTCTTCTCAACCTCAACCTTAACATTAATATCAACCTTAACTCCAACCTCACTTTCAACCTCAACTTTAACTACAACTACAACTACAACTACATTCGCAATATGATCTCACTCCGTTAGCGCAACCTTCGAGACGGACCTTATACAAAGCGGGTAGGTCGGCCGGATCCGGCCTAAAGGCGGCAGGTACAACTACTTCGCAAGCAGCAATGGCTGCTTTTACACCCCTTCTCTTCCCCTCAACAAGCCTTGCCTCTTGCCTTGCTTGTTGCCTTGGTTAAGCCCGCGGTGTAAGTGATAAGTAATACACTCTAGCTACTTACGCTAATATTATTATATATAGATTTAATCAAGACGACGATGATGATGAAAATGAGCTAATAATCTTTCGCTCTCCTTCCTCCTCTCCTCTTCATACCGTCCCCGCCGTCCCCGCCGTCCCCGCCGTCCCCGCCGTCCCCGCTGCTGCCTTGCCTCTTCCTCTCTCTCTTCTTCTCCTTGCTATAGATTTAGCAGTAAGAGAAGTCGAGAAGGAAGTAGAAGAGGATAAGGTGATAGAAGATTTTAGGCCCTTAATATAAGTCATCTTGAGATCAAGTGATACATTCGAGTTACTTACGCTAATTACATATATATATATAGATTCGAAGACGACGATATAAATGAGCTAATGATCTCTCGCTCTCCTTTCCTTTCTCTTTTCGTCCTTTCCGCGCTATCGATTCTTATCAGCGTCCCGGCTCCTAGCCTCGCCTCGGCTCTTATATTCTTCGCCGCCGCCGTGCCCCCTTTTGCTACGCCACCTGCTACCCCTCGCTTTATAAGCTTTGGACCGATCTTACCTTTACAATGAAGCACAAGCGTAAGTATATTTTCACATCCTTTATTAATGCTTATTGATCAAATCAATAGATGTTTGCGTCCCCGCCGGCCGTTGGTAGGAGGACCCTCTTTACTAAGGCCCAGCTTAAACAAGCCTAATCGACTGCCGGGTTTGCGCGGCTCCTTTAGGCCTGGACTACTTAAAAGAAGAACAAGGACCCATACACGCCTTCCGTTATAAGCATATGATAGTCGTATAAGCAATCGGACTTGTTAAAGCTCTCCCCCTTTCGCCGTGCTGTCATCGGCCACGTCGGCCGTATCATGGAGATCGAATTGTAAGAATTACCTTCTTTTATCTTCTAGCAACCTTGAGCTAATACAAATATATAGAGGTGAGCTAGTGGACTCGCCTTGCGATGCGTGCGCTGCTGCTCGCCAAGAGTGCTAAGTATATTCTTCGGCCGGTAAGGCACAAATATCTAATTCGGAGGATGCGTGTGCTCGCTGTCGGTGGTCTCTTCGGAAGTGTACTGCGTTTAAGAAGAGCTTACGTAAGAAACGTGGACCTGGACCTCCTTCTCTTGCTCGAGACCTCCCCCCCCCCTCCCCCCCCCCTTTTCCAAGTGCACCTTCTACAGCTGGGTTAGAGATTCGGGTTTAGACCTTCTTTAATGCATATTCTTGGACTTAATAACTCTTATAACTTTTGTGACTTATATGATCCTATAGCCTTTATAACTTCTGTAACTTTTGTAACCTCTGTAACCTTTGTAACCTTTGTAACTTTTGTAACTTTTGTAACTTTTGTAACTTTTATAACTTCTGTAACTTCTGTAACTTCTATAACTTCTGTAACTTCTGTAACTTTTG